ATCCTCGCAAGGTCAATGTGTCGGAGGAGCCCAGACAGCCGAGAGACAAGCCCCGGCAAGCGGCAGGCGGCACGCTGGGCACCTGAAGGGGAGGTGGAGGGGGGAGGGGGGCAAGGGATGGGGGGGGGGGACGGATGATCAGCCTTGCCATGTTTCTGTTTCCCGCAGCCCGGCGAAACAAGAGTTGACAAAAACGGGTTTCTTGCTGCCCATCTGCCCATGAATTTTAATCCGACCCTGGCAATACTACCTGGTAGGCGCACGGCATTCACTCTCAGCTGCTGTCTTCCTCTTTCAATGATGAGATCCCAACGCCGAGCTGCCTGTGAGCGGCGGCTCCACGGGCTAGCGCAAAACCAGCACACCCCTTCTGGCGAGGTTTCGCCCCATGAGAGAACGGGAAACTCTGGCCGCCCCTAAGGGAACAGGAAGGCGATCCTCGAGATCCGCATTGTTTTGGCGCTCTGGGGCGCATCTCCATGGTGCTGTGCTTTCGTTGCGTCGCCTCTCGCTTTTCGGGTGGTGGAGGGCCGCATGCGAAGATTGTTGGCCAGTTGGGCAGCTCGAGCAGGAAACCCAAGCGGGGATGCCGCAGCAGGGATCCCACCTGGCAGGCATGCCAGGCATGGCATCCATGGCATCCATGGGGTTGATGGCATACGATGGGAGAGAGAAAGGGAGGAAGCCTTGCATCGCCGTGCCATGCCCTCCCTTCCTAGCTCGTTTCCTGCCATGGCGGGTTCGCTGGTGCATGTTTGGTCAAACCGGCAGAGGGTCGGTCGGTCAGTCGTGGGCGAAGCACGAGCACCATTATGCCCAGTGTGGAAATGGTCGAAAACTCGAAGGAACCCCAGACGTGGCCTGTCGTGCGCGTCGCTTCTTGTCGTTCAAATGCACAGCGGAGTCCCTATTCTCTCCCCGTTTGCTTGGTTGTCTTCTCACCCTCTCTCTCCTTCTCTCCCTCTCTCTCTCTCCTCCCCCCTTCGTTGCTACTGCCTCAGTCTTCTCCCAGACTTCCTCCTCCTCCTTCCTCCTCCTCCTGCTCCTTCCCTCTCCCCCCTCAACCCCTTCCCCTCTTGGTCTTGGTGCTGTATACGACCCGCACCTTCCCTACCTACCTTACCTCCCGCCTGTCACCTGCCGCCTGCCGCCTGTGTGGCTGCCCCCGAAGAAACCGCCGAGTGGCTCATTCTGTGGCGCGTCTAGGGGACCTGCTGCCCCGAGAACTAAAGCACAGCAGCCGAGCCCAGGCCGTCGTGCCCTCTCCACCCCCCATTCCAGGCGGCCTGCACCTGCTCTAGTGGTTCGACCCGGCTGAAACAGGCCGGTCAGCCGTGCCCCCCCCCCCTCCCCGTCCACTTCCCCCGTTCAGGCGACCTTTTGCCCGTTCAGGGTACCTGGCTTGAGGTACCTGACTTGCCTGACCTCACTGAGAGTCACGCCCCCGAACCAGGCTGTCACGGGCTCCCGTCTCCCCTGAAAGGGACACGGGGGACAGCTATCACTTGTCATGGTCCCGCGCCAGGACAACCATGCCCGTCCACCACCCGCCCCTCGTCTCTGGTCGCGCCTGTCCAACTTCTCCAAGAAGTCCTTCATCTCCTTCTCCTCGTCCTTCGAAGCTGACGACGAGCGCTCCGAATCCGAGGAGGACGACGACGACTACGACTACCACCATCGCCAGCTTTTGTTTCCCGCCATGTCCGGCCGCAACGGGGACCGCCGTTATGGGCGTGATGACGGATCGTCGCCGGGCCGCTACAGTGGTGAGGACACGAGGCCGACCTCGCAGAAGGAGCTCGCCGGATGGTATGCCTACGCCTTTGCTGCCGAGACCTATGTCATCTGTGGTACGTCCATCTCGTTGATCTCGTCTGCCTGTCTCTCTGACACGTTGACACCTCTCTCTGCGCTTTGAGCTGACCCGTCTTCCTAGCTATTGGTATGTCGAGCCGTGTCCCGTCACGCTCACCACTTCTCCGTCTCTTTCTCTCATCTGACAACCTCCAGGCTCTTTCATTCCCATCCTCTTAGAAACCCTCGCTCGCGAAAATGGCGTTCTGCTCTCCGACCGAACCACCCCCTGCGGCACCAGCGATTCGAAGAACAAGGCTGACGGCCAATGCGTCGTCTACGTCCTCGGCGCCGAGGTCAACACGGCCAGCTTCGCCATGTACACCTTCTCCATTAGCGTCCTCGTCCAGGCCCTGCTCGTCGTCAGCATCAGCTGCGCCGCTGATCACGGCAACTTTCGCAAGAAGCTGCTCCTCGGCTTCGCATGGACCGGCAGCGTTGCCGTCATGATGTACATCTTCGTCAGCGCCAACACCTACCTCTTTGGCGCCCTCCTCGCCATCGTCTCCAACACATCCTTTGGCGCATCGTTTGTGCTGCTCAACTCGTTCCTGCCGCTCTTGGTGCGCCATCACCCCGACGTCATCGAGGCCGAGAACAAGCATGTTCCCGACTTTGCCCAGACGGACCTCGAGTCTCATACCATGAGGGGGGCCGGCGCCGATTTGGGCGCGGCACCTGCGGACCCCGATGCGACGTCACCGCTGCTCTCGAACGCCGAGGACATGGTCACGCCCGACTGGCCGCGCAGAGCAACACGCGAGGAGCTGACGTCGGTGGAGTTGAACCTGTCGACACAAATCTCGGCCAAGGGCATCGGTATCGGCTACACGGCGGGTCTGTTCTTTCAGTGCGTTGCCATTGGCGTGCTCATTGCCATGCGCAACACGACGTGTCGCAACGGGTTGTCTTCTTCATGGTCGGTGCCTGGTGGGCCATCTTCACGTTCCTCGCGCGTCGTGGCTTCGACCGCGGCCGGGGCCGCCGCTGCCCATTGTCGCGCCAGCGGGTTCTCCGGCATGTGGCGTGG